ACTAATTATATATTTATTAAATTACTRTAATAATCAGTAATCATTAAAACCAGGTTAAAATAAATAGATAACAATATTATAATCGATAATGGCAATATTAATTATTGCCATTTGGCGAAAGGGGAGACCACCCCTTTCGTATATATATATATATATGCACCAAATACACCCAATAATTTATGCTATTAAAGCGATCTCTTAACATAAATTAATTAATCTCTACCATTCAAGTAATGTACCGATATTTCAACTAACTTAATTAGCCATTCAAGTATTACATGAAAGTTTTCAAAAAGCCAAAAAACAAACAAACAAACAAGAAAAAAAGAAAGAAATAGCTATATGAAGTAATGTAAGATTAAACCATCAAAATGACCTCTTAAGATTAGTCAATATATCAGCCATCCAAATAAGTATCAAGATTTCATTTATTATGACTTATCCAAATTCTGCATTTGGATCAACCCGGCCAATGATCCAAGCCATCAATGTATTCTCTTAGGCTTTGTTTGGATCCAGTGTTTACACTGATGATGTTTTAAACTGAACTGTATAATAGGTGACCGCTACATTTTGAAAATCATGATAAAACAGTGTAAAGTTTTACATCGATAAAATTGATGTAGTATTTACATTGATAATCAAATGCAAAACTTTATGCTTGATGAGGTTTTACATCGATTTACGATGTAAAACTCCACTCCATCCAAACGCCAACAAATCTAAACCGGAGTGGAGTTTTACATCAATCTTCATTTACACTCCTTCCAAACGCTAATAAAACCAAATTAGTGTAAACTTTTAAATCGTTCTTGATTTACACGGATTCCAAACACAGCTTTAGTAGCAATGAACCAATCCCAACCATCCAAATACATTTAATGCCTAGATTTTTGGGTTGATTTGGAGTATTATTTGAATTGCTTTATTATTGATTGAAATCTTGATATGTAAGTGAATGTTGTATGGAGAGTGCTGGACATTTAAGTACAACATTTCCAGAAAATGAGTGTGGAAAAAACATAGATGCTATAGATAAGTGAGAAAATTAGAAAGGACGTAGTTAGAAATGAAATCATACAAAGGAACCTAAGAATAACTCCAATAGGTGATAAAACGGGAGAAAGAGAGTAGATTGAGATGGTTCCCACTTCCCACACATATATAGGACCATCCACAACTTGTTAGGGAAAATGATCTGTTACAAGTTGAAATGGCAAGAAAAGCTAGGGTAGACCAAACAGGACTTAAGTGGAAGTGATACGAAATGATTTAAATGCCCACAATTTAACAATGGATATGCCATTGAATAGAGGGTCTGTTCGTTTTTTGGATTTTGAGAGGGAGAAAGTTGGTCAATAGAATTTTGGTTCCTATTGACCAAGATATCCATGTTCTCTTTTCAGATTCATGTCGAGTCCATGAAAAATCAGCTCTAGTTATAAATTACTAAGCAATGCAGCACAATGCAGAGTCCTCACATGACTCTTGGATTTGCTATGGTTTGTCTTGAAGTTCTCTATGGAAGAACAAACTCCTCATCCTAAACAGGGACATGAACTTTACCAAGGTTGCATTAGAGTTGTTATATAAAGGATCGGGATGGTCATTTTATTGTTGATAGAGCCATGGTGGTCAACTGCTCGTCTCCTGAAGAATCAAAGGCTTTGGTTATTCTCAAGGGTTTGAAGCTGGCAAAGAACATGCCCATGTGTCACATTTACTTGGAAAGTGATGCCAAACTAAGTTTGTCAGGGCTTTCATTTTGGATGAGATGTAGTTCTTTTGATGATTGATGAATGGAACAATATCGTAAAAGGGGTAACCAATCATCCAATCAGATAGGATCTATCAAAAGGTAAAAAGACTAAGAGTCCGTTTGGTTCATAATCAGAATTGGAATCGGAATCAGAATGGTTCATTTCCATAGTCTGTTTGGTTTAAACATGAATGAGAATGGGAATTAAAATCAGTAGAAATGAGATTTCATTCCCAAGGGAGGGGTAGGGAATGGCCATTCCCTCAAATGGGGGAATGTCATTCTAGCAGGAATCAGAATGCGATTCTGCCCTACCAAACAGTTGGAATCAGAATAGGCCTAAAACATACCCTGGGCTTTTAAAATAGATTTAAATATACCTTATGAGCTGACCTCATTAGATTTAAACATATCCTTCATTAGATTTTAGACTCAAATTTTTTAAAATCTTATGGGACCTTGTTTTGAAAATCTGCAACTGTAGTTTTAGATTAGACATGGCATGGATAGAGAGTATCATAGTATTGTTTACAACTCAAATAGTTTCTGAGTGAAAGCATTTTCGTTAAATTACTCAATTGATGAAGCTCAAAGTTATTAGAGAATAATTAAAAAATCGAATACCACAAAAAAATAAGGGTAATATAAAATATGAATCCCTAATTCCCTACTTTTGAGTGCTTCATCCTCCATAAAATAATCCACATCCACTCATGTTCCATAGTCATATTCATTACTGCAAACTTAAACACCAACAAAACCTCTGAATTCAAATTCGTGCCATAAAATCACATAGATTGAGAGACGAATGAGAAATGTTATTTGAAACTCAAAGTGGTAGTTCTATGGCGGAAAAGGCCCAACTGTTGGATGGAAAATAGAGCAATTGATTGGTTTAGACTGACCGAGGTGTAACTGGCTAGCTGCAGAGTTTCACCTATACTCACTAATGCTGTGGAAAGAGGGAAAGAAAAGAAGGAAAACAGATAGATGTGGAAGATAAGAAAAGAAAGAGAGAGAGAAAAAGAGAATAAAGGAGGAAAGAACAAAGTATTAAAAAAATAAGGTTTTGTTTTTTTTTTATTCTTTTTTTTTGACATGATTACATTAGTCGTCTTCAATTTAATTCTTTTTGAAAATTTGAAAAAAAAAATAAAAGGTAAAATAATCACTGAGATATACCTATCTTAAAACCTTTGTGTAGTTAACCTTTAAGTCCATTTCTGAAATATAAGGAAATGTTGTGTTTTACCCAAAATCAAAACCCTTTCAGTGTCATGTCTTTCGGTCAGGCAACATAGTTTTTTCTAATTAAAATTTTGATTCTTGATACAGTAATTATAATTATTAGGCAACATAGTTTTTTCTAAATAAAATCATGATTCTTGATAAAGTAATTGTAATTATTAATATAGGGTGCGACTAAGACGATGTTTGTCATAGATGCTGATTTCTCAGAAATTGGTGCTACGTTGGATCCACATTAACATTTGAAGAATCAATGATTTTTTTTTTTTGTTTGATTGGTTAATTATGCCAATTTCTGGGAAATCAGCAAAAAATCGATCCCTGAAATTAGCTTGGGTGAGGGACCACATTTGGTGATTCCCTGATTTTTAGGCAATTCTGATTTTGTTGCTGAGTGGCATCCTATGTGGAGGGGCGAGAAGGTGTTCTAATGCTTCAATAAAAAATAATCACTCTTGAATATCAAACCAAACAATCTCTAAAATGATTTCTAAAAAATAGGCCAGAAGAAAATGATACCAAGTAACAAAAAAGAGGGACTTTTAAAAAATCACTAACTTCAATAATCACCGATTTTCCAAAAATCAGGTGTAAACAATCATTATCGATGCCAAACGTCACTTAATTCATTGTTCTTGCGAGACTGATGGCTTATATGATTATATCTTCGTAGGGTTAGGGAACCGCATCCGCATGTCACATTCAGTCTGCTCCAGCTTTTTTCTCCTCTTCTTATACCTTCTACCCACGTCACCCACTGAGAACGCAAGGTTGTATGGTGTTTTGTCCAGCGTGGCATATCCGGACCTACATACCAGTTCTTATCAACGGTTCATTTCGTGCCACGACTCAAACGATTCCTTACTTCAACCGACGGTGTTTGTGGGCCCCTCAATACCAACTGAATGACAGTGTCACGACACGTGTGAGGTAGTATCTTTCCGAGAATAAACCGTACACGCGCGGTCTCGCTCCAGTCCAGCGGTTTCTCGCTCGTGCCAACTCTATATAAAGCAACCCCAACTCTGAGTATGTGAGACGGTGAGAGTGTGATTGTGTGAAGACTGTGACAAAAGATAAGTAGACGAACAGCGAGAGAGAGAGAGAGAGAGGCCTGGCGTTCTTCGATTGCCTGCACAGCCATTTCTTTGGTTAGATTTCTTCCGAGGAAAGATCAGTTTCCGTGAGAGCTATGTTTTTATTTCTCGCAGAATCTCTTCTTTTCTAGCCGAAAATATCAGTTTCAGTGCACATCTTTTCTATAAAGGGAAACATTTTCGCCGGAAATCGTGCTTCTCTGCCAAACTTATTTTCTGAAGAGAAGCATATTTAATTATTTGATACTAGCCGGTTCTTACGTAGATAAAGGAAAGAGAAATACTTATCCAGGGGGAAAAAAACAAGTGAAGATCTTTCAGTGGAACAGAATTTTGTTTCCTTTTATTTTATTTTGGCGCCAAGTGAAATAGATTAGGGTTCCGCGGGGGGTTTAGGGGTGGTGGTCATGCCGTATCTGGTCCGTGATCGTCTGTTCATCGGCGACATTAGTGACGCAGCTGAGATTCTTCAGAAAGGGAGCACTGAATTCACACATATTTTATCGCTTCTCAGCTCGGCATCCATCTCATTCTTCACTGAATGGCGCTCCAGTATAATTATTCCTGCGAAGGAAATCCGAAAAGTTTTTGTCGTAGGGTCGGAAGGCGCTTCTAGCTCTGAAGATGATGTAGACAATGGTTTGAAGAAGTCTTCTCCACCAGAGAAGCTTCTTTATTCGCTTGAATATGCTGGAAAAGATTTGAAGTTCGTGAGGATGGCCACTCCTCTAAGAGATATGGAAAATGAAGATTTGCTGGATTACTTGGATGTATGTTTGGATTTCATTCACGAGAATAGAAAAGAAGGAGCGGTACTGGTACATTGCTTTGCAGGCGTGTCAAGAAGGTATTTTATGTTCCAATCCCTTACGTATAGGCTATGGCGAATATATTCTCTTCTTTTTCTATTTTTACGCTTTTCCATATTCTGTTGTTTTTCTTTTGCTTTCCATTTTTTTTTGATCGGTATGAACGACAAAAGTGCTTTGTTAATAATTAAAGCAGAAAATTTAGTTCTCCTCATGACAGAAGGTACTAGAGAACAATACAATGCCTATAGCTGGCTCCTGATACAAATATAGTTTGGAAAGGAAAACCTAAGCCTCATGGCTGAAACCTGGGTTCGGTGCTGCACAAACTAAAGAAGACCTATCGGTCCCTTCCCTTGCAAGTGAATTGACTGATCTGGGCACACATCTGATTTGAATGAGCTGTTCAGCCTAGAGGCCGATTCCTTGGCTTCTCAAATTCTAATATAGCATCTTACTTGGGACCATCTATACTTTCTGACATCCAACCAATTACAACTTGGAAACTCCATTAACAACAAGACTTTTTCATCCTAAGGTAAACGCAAGATTAAGTCCTTGTAACATAGGAAGAAACTCAGGTTGCAAAGAGTTTCAATATCCCACAGAGTACGAATAAATCACAGTGCCTATAAACACCATTCACTATAGTTTGGACCAGGTTACAATGGTACATCTATCAATTTATATCTTTATTCTCCCTTCTGGAGGGGCAAAGCTGAGCTATACGTCCTCTTTGTGGACTGAAGCCTACCCCTTCTTGCCAGTTCCTAAACATGTAATCCATGGATATGCCCTTGAAGTCTTCTCTTGTGGAGATCAAATATGCTATTCTCAGAACCCCAAGATCAATAAGAATATTGTCTTCATGCTCTTTGTTCTGAAATATCTTAGTGTTCCTTTTGATCACACACCATACTGCTTTCATGCAAAGTGGAACATGATCTTCCCCCTATTAGCATCAAAGGGAAGAAGGTGTAAGTTGAAAAGCTCTAAGTTGTCTGCTGGTGGTGCCCAATGAGAGCCAAACTGATGGCTTGAGATGATGATTTGAATTTAGCAATAAAGGTGGATAACGTTTTGTATATATTCTCTCTAATATCATTCAAATTACTTTTAAGAAGATTTTCTAGATTTGGTTGTTCCTAAGTTCATATTCAGTTTTGATCTTACCAAGATATATATCTTAGGCCAGAAATTCACTTCAAACCATCTTCTGCTTGAGATGATGGACCGGTTTTGGGTTGGACCCCGTCCAATTCAAAATCAATTTGGATGAATTGGGTGGACCAATAAGACATTGAATTCCACCAATCTAGACTTAATGGTCCAAAGTATTTATTGGATTGGATTGAACCTGGTCCATTCGTAATGAATTTATGTTGGATTGGGTTGGATTGAACCGATATCCAGTCTATTGATAGAAGATAAGAATACATGTGTCAATGAACCTGGTTTGGGTTGGAACCAATCTAAATTTAAACCAATTTGAACAGATTGGATGGTTTGAATTGGACTGGTCCAAAATGGTCCAGAATATTCATTGGATTGGAATGGACCTGGTCCATCTGTAATGGACTCATATTAGACATGATCAGGATCAGATTAGACCAAATCCGGTCCAATTGACACCCCTAGCCATAAGCATTTCTACATGAACAATTGTCATTCATGGCATGTCAAGAAGTAGGGCTGTCAATGAACTTTGAAAGTCCAAACCCAATCTGGCATCCTATCCAATTAAAATCTGAGTTTGATACACATACACACAAATTCAAGATATATGATTTTGTAACAATAGATTTTATATAAGTTATATATAATATAAATTAAATATTTCATATTTATATTAATTTATTATATATGTTAATAATTAATTGCATTTTCTTAATTTTTTTAGTTTCTTTCTTTATTTTAAAGAAATATCAAGCAGACTTGGATAAATCCAAATTCACATCTGAGATCCCTAAATCCAATAGGTTTTGGATCAGATTTAGATTTCAGTTTTCATTTATCAGATTGGATTCAGATTTTGCTGTATCTGATCCGAATCTGACCCGATAACAGCCCTATAAAGAAGGAGACCAATGGATTTTTATTAGATGCTTAATAGTCCATTGGAGGAAATTATATACTATGGCAACTCCATTTATCCAATCCAATGAAGTATGACATTTTTAGGAGACTACTGGTTTTCTAAATCAGTATATCACATCTAAAAGGCAGGTACATCCCACTTATCTTTTGATTAAAAGAAACTTTTGATAGGAAAGAGTTGTCTCTTAATTTGATAGTAAAGGTGTACTGGTTTAGAAATGAGGATGGCATTATGTAGATGTAGTGGCTTCAGTCACTTTGCTTCAAAGGCTGATAATATTGATTTAAAGATGTTGTCTCTTCATTTGATAGAAAAATAAAAGAGACAAATATTACAGGTTTAGAGGTGATTTGGTAGAACGAAATTTCTACCAAATAAGAAAAAATGAGAGAATCAGTATGATACAAGAATGAATGTGGTGCACAAGCACCCTATAAGAAAAGAAAAGGGAAATAAGGATAGCCTTGCAGCCACCTTATCCTAGTAGATACAGCCCATATTCACATGTAGCTATCCCTCACCTTGGTGGTTATCCCATTAGACACTGTACCCAGATAGCGTGTCTCATGTTTGCTGTTCTTTGAAACCATCAGGAGAGTAAGAGATTAAGAGAGTCCAGATTTCTAGTTAAAGATCTTGTTTCCCTTATGGTCCTTTTACTGCCATGGTCCAGGAGAGTTTCTTTGCATTCATCCTGTAGAGAGACTGGGCCGAATGGGCCGTAGTATCTATTGTTTTACTTATGTAGTGTGTTATTTATTTGTTTGTTAATGGGCCTGTTACTTATTTTTATAAGTTAATTTTAAGTTCTTGCTTAGCTGGCTGCCCACTTAAGGGCATACTTGTAATTAACTTAGAAAATGAAGATTAACAAAAGGATTAATGAGGGGAGGGAGGAGATTATCAAACTCTTCTTCTTCTTCCTCTTCTTTTCTCCATCTTCTTCTTTTGTTATGCTGTCTTATACCTTTCTTCCATTTTTTTCTCTATTTTTAATCAAGTTTATATCAGTTTTAGAGGACTGATTTACTTCTCATCCACCACCACCACCACCTGAGAATCCCCTACCACTACTGGATTACTGTGTTAAAGTCAACATCCCAATCTCAGCCATGAAGTAAAGTTAGCTACTCAGAATAGAATGCTTATGGTCTATAGGACGACAACATATCATATTAGTTTTTTTTGATCAGTCGAAAAATTATTTTATTATATTTGATTGTAGATGAATTTTGTATGACTATATGACGGAATTGTTATCCCCAAGAGACCAACTCAAGTTTACATAGAAGCCCAAAACAGTTGCTGCCTCATAACTCTTTGTTTAGGAAGGGAATCATCTATCCCATTTGCACTCCTTATCCACTTGAATTCAGCATTTATGTCCTTCGTAATCCTTCTCACTTCTCTAAAAGCATGTTTGAGAGTCCAACGGGTTTATCTATTACAATTTGCCCATGAGATAATTAATTTTGAATCCCCTTCCACCTCCACCTGTTTGTAACCCAATTGCTTTGCTAACTGAAGACCTTGAACATTGACAACAATTCGGTCTTCAGGGAGTTTCCTAATCTGATTGACCTTGAAAATAAAGCCAAAATCCTACTCTTAGAATTTATGATTATACGTCCTATTCTTGCCATACCTAGGTTACCAAATGAGATCCCATCAAAATTCAGTACTTTGTTTCC